CAAAAACAACACTTCCGGAGAGGATATACCACATCCTTATCTCATTGTTTCTATTCTTAGAATAAATTATAGTTTAAATCTGTTTTTTAATCATTTGCCACTAATTTCAGTACAAATCTCACGGTTTTAATACATTAATGATGTGTTTTTTAATTTTATAATTAATTACTTTCATAGCAAGTGTTTTACAGTTATATTTGAAATTAAATTGTGTTTCATTCGATCGCTTATTGTCTAAATGCCATTCATTTTAGGCTCAGATATCATTGTTTTGGCTTTCATTCAATAATATATTAATAAGTATGGGGTCCGCAGGCCTTACACTTGTTTTCCACATTTATATCAAGGCATTAGTTATCAAATATTTTTACTTTTTATTTAATTACTTTGCAATTTAGGAATTTGAATAATTAGTTAACTTTTTTTGGTTTACACCTTATTTTGCAGTATATATAGTTTGCATCATATGTTAGGTGGAGTTATATTGAATACTTGGTTACATTGAGAATAAGTTACAACAGATATTGATATAAATTATTTGTTTTTAAAAATAAAATATTTATTAAACTTCTCAAAACATTTCATATGTTTCTCACTAAAGAGTTATGTTTATTGAATTGAAAACTTTGTTATTAATTGCATAAAATGTGTTAATAATAAATTTGTTTGTGTGACAGTTATGATGCCTTTATGGTTGTTTACATTGGGCCGCAATATTTTCGAGGGCACCACCACTTCTGTTCCCTTACATAATATATTTGGATCGTTGGGATCGATGACCATATTTTTAGGCCTGGGATTACTTTTACAGAAGTATATCCCAAGAATGGCTAATGTATGCGTTTTGCTCTCAAAGTTATTTTTATAATTAACTAAATTTTAATTATTTGAATAGATTTGTCGCCGAATATTAGCGCCCGTATCGATAGCAATGATAATATTTATAATAATTTTTGGCACTTATGCTAATTTATATATGTTTCGTATGATGTCATGGCGTATATTATTAGCCGCTTCTATCAACGTTTGGTCTGGCTTTTTGGTGGGACTCATAGCGGCCACTGTTTTTCGGCAGTCATTTGCCGATCAAATAGCGATCGCCATCGAGACGGGCGTTCAGAACACAGGGGTTGCCATTGTATTGCTCGGCCTATCGCTGCCACAACCGGACGCAGACCTGGCGTCAGTGGTGCCGGTGGCCGCCTCTGTCATGACACCCATTCCTCTCACCATTGTTTACATAATTC